TCATCTCTAGGATCTAGGGTCCACTGGGGCTGAGCTCGCTTCTGTCCCCTCTTGCTGTCATGAAGGGGGCTGTTCTACCTTGAGTCAGGTGATGTCCAGGCCCCGAGGATTCTTTCCACCCAGAGCTGGGATGCCCTGTCCCCGTTCCCAGGTGCTGGGTTTGGGATTTCCTCTGCCTGTGGAAAGGGGAGGACTGGTCACCTGGGTCTCCAGGTTGAGGATCTAGATGCTCAGGAGGCCTCTGAGAATATTCTTGTTCCCCTGTCCTTTGTCCCCTATCAAGGACATGGACCTCTATTTCCAGGGGCAAACACACCTCCCTTTATCACCTCCCCTCTCATTGGTTCTTTGGGACTTGCCCTAGGGCCATCTTTGCCCCCATTGCTTTATTTTGTGTCTTAGATGGAGAAAGATATTTGGCCACTCCCACCTTCCTCTTCATCATTCTCCTTCTCTGAAGCAGCATGTCACTAAATGTTTCTAGCTTACTTGGTTGAATATCTCAGTTGCATTCAAACCCAGGTCAGGCTGTGGTTCCATTCTGTCTGAACGCTAGAATGCTGGTTGGAAAAACTGAGGAGTCTTCTGCAGGGATTCTGATGTAATTGATTTTGATCTAGACATCTGTCTGGGCAGGAGTGTGGTTGGAGCCTGTAGTTCCTGGGCACTGGTGTCCTCAGGGGCCACTATGTGAGTGTGACTACCTGCCGGAGCCAGCAGTCTGTGCCTCAGGCTCGCTTAATGTCATCTGTGCCAAGCAGGCTGGTATGTGCTAAACTGAGGCTGGGATCATGTGATGCTAGTGGGGTGATCTCTGCCCCAGCACTAAATTCTGGCTACACTGGGCATCTCCAGGAAGATACCTCAACCCCTCTGAACTTTGAATCCCACCCTTAAATCCAGTCTTGTAAACTAACCAAGTATTTAGTGATGTTAAGGAACATTCATTCCTTTTTAGCTGTGTTAATATATTGGGAACATGTGTTTCGAAGAGTTTTTACCTTTTAGAGATCTGTAGTGAAATATTTATGAATGAAATAGTACGTGAGATTTGCTTCAAAATAATCTGGGTGGGGAGAGGTGACTGAGAGTTGATGAAACGTGGATTGATAACAGTTGACACTGAGTGATGAGTTCACAGAAGTTCACTTAACCCTTTTCTCTAGTTCTGTGTATGTTTGAGATTTCCATAATAAACAAGTACTTAACCTTAAAAATTGGATAGCACATGCAAATGGAAAACATGCATCAAAACAGAACATAAAACAAGCAAAATCAGGGCCATGGAGAGTCGTGGCTATCCTAACCCCGGAACCCAGATCCCAGATCCCAGATCAGGAGGGCAGCAGGATCTGGTGAACTGTGCGCATTCAGCACCTCGGACAGCAACCTCTTCCCTCCGCCTCGGCAGCCTTAGGGATCTGGGGCAGAGAACTTCTGCATCCACCTTTGTTAGGAGGGGTCTGTTCAGGACAGAAGGCTATCCAGCCTCTTCCACACCTCCAGAGATGGGGCCTTCACTACCCATGGGGTAGACCAGGCCTTGGTGGACAGTTTGGGCTCCCAAGAAATTTCTGTTTTCTGCTCCTTAAGGATACTTTTGTCAAAAATCAGTTGATCACCTATGTGTGTGTCTATTTCTGGGCTTTCTATCCTGTTCCATTTATCTATATGTTGTCCTTATGCCAACCCCATCCTGTTTTGATTTATAGCCTTAAGATAAATAGCTTTGTAGTAAGTCCTGAAATCAGGCGGTATGAGCCTTCCAACTTCGCTATTCGTTTTCAAAATTGTTTTGAGTATTCTTGGTTCTTTGTTTTCCCATATAGACTTTAGAACAAGAGAGCCCATTGGAATTTTGCCTGGGACTGTACAGACTCTAGAGATGAATCTGAGGAGAATGGATCTGAGGAGAATGGGCATCTTAACAACGTCGAGACTCCCAATCCATGAACAGGGTATATGTCTCCATTTCTTTAGGTTCTCTTTAATTTCTCTCATCAGTGTTTTGTAGCTTCTGTTATACACATTTTGCACATATTTTCTTAGCTGTATTTATAAGTCATTTAATATTTTCTGATGTTATTGCAAATGATATTTTTAAAATTTCAATTTGTAATTGTTTGTTGATAGTATGTAGAAATGGAATTGATTTTGCTTTTTGACCTTGTATCCTGTGATCTCGATAAACTCATTAATTCTAATAGCTTTTTAGGTAGAATCCTCAGGGTTGTCTATTTTAAAGGTTTTTCTTCAGAGTTTTATTCTTAAAAAACCTGAACCTATAGAAAAGTTTCAAATAATACAACTGAAGTAGGTAGAATAACACACTCCTCTCCCCACTGTGTCTGCACCCTAATCCTCAGAACCTATGAATATGTTATGCTACATGTTAAAGGGAATTAAAGTTGCAGATGGAATTACAGTTGCTGGTTGGCTGACCTTAATAGAGATTATCATGGATTGTTGGGTAGGTCTAATGTAGTTACACGAGTCCTTAAAAGTGGAAGAAGGATGAAAAAGAAGAGTCGATGTCACGGTACTATAATGTGAGCAAGACTAGACCTACCATTGCTAGCTTTGAAAATGGAGAAAGGGGCCACAAGCCAAGGAGTGCGGCGGCCTCTAGAGGCTAGAAAAGGCAAGACAATGAATCCATCCCTAGAGTCTCCAGAAAGAAGCGCAGCTTTGGGGACTCCTTGATTTTAGCATATGACACCCTTATTAGATGTCTGGCCTATAGAACTATAAGATAATAAACTTTTGCCTTAAGTCACTGAGTTTGTAGTAACCCTTTACAGCAGTAATAGAAAACTAACAAAATAATGGACATATACCATCACCAACATACACACACACAATGTGCACGTGCACTTTTTTTATTCCTATGTAGTAAGTATCTTCATTGTATATCACAATTTATCCAGTCTATCACTGATAGAAATTTGAGCTGGTTCCTATTTTTTAAAAGATTTTGTCAGAGAGAGAGAGAGAGAACAAGCAGGGGGAGCGGTTGGCAGAGGGAGAAGCAGGCTCCCCACTGTGCAGTGAGACCGATGTGGGGCTCGATCCCAGGACCCTGGGATCATGACCTCAGCCAAAGGCAGACACTTAACCAACTGAGCCACCCAGGCGTCCGGAGCTGTTTCCTATTTTTGTCTAATATGTACAAAGTTTTCCTAATTTGGCCTTTCAGCTAGCCTCTGTCCTTTTGACTTATCCCATCATTTTTTTTTTAAGATTTTATTTATTTGCGAGAGAGAGAATGAGAGACAGAGAGCATGAGAGGGAGGAGGGTCAGAGGGAGAAGCAGACTCCCTACTGAGCAGGGAGCCCGATGTGGGACTCGATCCCGGGACTCCAGGATCATGACCTGAGCCGAAGGCAGTTGCTTAACCAACTGAGCCACCCAGGCGCCCTATCCCATCATTTTTTAACACTTTATTTTTTGCCCAACAAGATGCTTTAGACTCATTTTGTATTTTTTTTTTTTTTTTTTTTTTGCCCAGCCCTGGAATTGTCCTCCCCCCCGCCCCCCAACCCCAGGAGAGTCTGGTTCCTTTTGGTGGGGAAGTATTTAAGAACCAAGATGTGGAGACTGGGTGTGTCTAGTTATTACTGGAATACTAGTACCTAAAGACCTTTTCAGCAAAGATAAATAGGTATTTTAAAAAATAGTAAGTTCATGTCAATACCTCAGATTCCAATCCAAAACCATTTCCCTTGACTTCTCCCGTAGTGAGAGCCTTCATCTGAAACATCAGGACATTCATTCTTTCATTCGCTCATTTCCTCCAGCCTTTGGCAATCTGTGTCATTACCTAATCGTTAATGCCTCGGGTGCTTGGATTGTCCTCTTTCATTTTGGTAAAGACACCCACAAGCCTCCAGAGCCAAGCTTAACTGCTCCTTCCTCCCTCTGTCCACCGTGTACACATGGCCCATGCCTCCCAGCTCATGTGTGTGTGTCTCTATGCAAGTACATCATTCCAGAGCAAGAGAGAGAGGGAGTAGGTCCTGCCCACCTGCTTTACTCAGTATTCTTGCTGGTGTAGTTGTCTCTGTCCATCCTTCCAGCTATAGAACCTAGATGTAGAGATTATCATTCCTTTTCCACAGTCACGACAGCTAGACTCAGAGAATTAGACCTGGACCCCACTGTTTTCATCTTTATGTTCCCCCAGCCCCAGGCATGTGGTAGGTGCTTAGTACACATTTCTTGAGTGAATGACTGGATGAGGGGTTATACTAAAACCTCTTTAGAACTCAGTTTTTCTCAAATTGTAGTATGAAAAAGAAGAACCTTATTAAATGCAGATTTGGGGGCGCTATCCCAAGAGAAGCTATCTCTTGAGGTCTGGGGTTGGCCCTGGAATCTGCCATTAACACTCCCCCCTTCCGCCCGCAGGATATTATGAAGCATATCATTCATAGCACCATCACCACCTGAGATTATCTTGGTTATTCACAATTGTAAGCTCCAAGAGAGTCGGGCTGTTCCCTGATCTATCTCGCGAACCTGGGCCAGTGCCTGGTACGGATCAGACGGTCGCTAAATATTTGTTAGATGAATCTTTAAGGTCACTTCTCGAGGGAGCGTTTGTGAGTATGTGTTGAGCGCTTGCTGAATGACGGAAACAGCGGGTTGGTGAATGATGCGGACGGCGGGCGGCAAGGAGGAGGTGGGCGGGGGTCTGGTCCATCGCAGGGTGGGTAACGTCGTTTCCGTGCGGCGCAGGCCCAGACCGGAGGCCCCGCGACGTCACGTCTGCGGAGGGCAGCCGGCGCGCGGCGGGCGGGGCCATGACGTCATACCGCGGAGCGCAGCCGGGGCGGGGCGGGGCCGGGCGCGGGCCGGGCGGCGCCGTGACGTCACGCCTGCGGAGCGCCGCGCGCGGCTGGG